ACAGGAATAAAAATACTGTATATTCATTTATTTAAAAAAAAAAGCATCCCAGAAAAAAAGTTTCTCTTGAAGAAGAAAAAGGGCAGGTGCTGAAGCCCCTTTTGATGTCTATGTTTGCACGTGCTTGCCCCTCTGCTTTGGATAAAAGGACCCTACCATAGAAATATCTCATTAACCATGAGTTCAGTTTTAATTTTAATTTTTCAATAATGGGGTCAAAATTGGATTTATATCGTTGCTCTACACTTTTACAGATAGAGCCCAAGTAGCTTACCTTATCTTGATTCCATAACAATCCCATAGATTACAGCTTTTGATTGGAAACAAAACAGATTTATCTAGATTCATCTTTAAATCTGAGACTTTAGTAACTCATCAATAAAGAATATTGCTTAGGTGACTTGGTTGTGGTTTTTCAAAAAAAAATGCAGTATCATCCGTTAATTGAAAAATTTTAAAATCTCCAAAATCTACAGCCCTTATTCCTAAAAAATCAGATTTTTTGACATGAGTAGACATTATGTGGGTGACTAACATAGAGATATTGAACAACCTTGTCTAATACCAGCCACATGTGAAGTGCATTATAAGGTACAGTTAGATGTTTTACTAACCTTAAATAAGGGCCACCAGTGCTATCTGAGTGACCTATGGGACATTCAGTTAAAAAAAACTACACCAAAGTGATGATGAAGTTTAGCAACTTGTAAGAAAAAAGTAGGATATGCCAAGAAGAAAAACTATTCAAACTGTAGCCTATAACAACAATAACTACTACTAATGAAATTGTAGGCTATGGTTGTCTGTAAAGGTTCTCAGTCCTACAGGTCATTGTTATCCAACAAAGGTTGAGGTCAAGGGCAACTGGAATTTGTAAAAGAAAAACTGGAAGACGTTTCCTCCCTTATCCAAGAGACTTCTTCAGTTCTGACTGACTGGTATGGAAACTCAGCTATTTAACCTCTGTGGGATTGTTAGCTAGGATCGTCGATCCTGCTGGTTCGTTAGTGCTCTTGGCTGTAGTAACGACAGTCGTCATGGTTGTCAGAACCACCAGTGGCCAAGTCTGAACGACCATTGTCACCTGAGGCCAAGTGGAAATGCTTGTTCAGTTTCCTGGGAAGTTATGAAAGGACAGCATTGTAAGTGGGGGATGAATGGTGGCGTAGACACCCTCCTCTGTTCAACGACGGCTTCTCAACCTGGGTGTAGATGGCTTCCTTGATACCTCTTTCAAACCATCTATCTTCTCTGTCTAAAATGTGCACCTCGTGATCCTCAAACGAGTGCCCCTTGTCCTTCAGATGTAAGTAAACTGCTGAGTCTTGACCTGAGGAGTTAGCCCTTCTGTGTTGAACCATGCGTTTGTGTAGTGGTTGCTTAGTTTCCCCAATGTACAGGTCTGTGCATTCCTCACTGCATTGGATTGCATACACTAGATTGCTTTTCTTGTGTTTGGGTGTGCGGTCTTTGGGGCGTACCACCAATGTCTGTCTTAGTGTGTCCTTGGGTTTAAAAAACACAGGGATGTGGTGTTTTTTAATGACCCTTTTCAGTGTTTTGACCAGCCCTAACAATTCAATTCGCATCCATAGTATTGGGGCGGTGGCAGAAATTAGCTAGCTAACAGAGGACATGGGCACATGATCTAATTGAAGAAGATATACTTTATTTATTTATTTATTGATGGACCCATTGTCATTCACTCCGCCTTCCGCTGGTGAGTTTTTATTTTCTGCTAAAGAAATTTAGGGCCATGATGCACATACGTAAATATAATTTGGTGAATAACACAGCACTATGTTTACTACAAATTTCTAAATGTCAGTGCTAACCAATCACAGCACAACAGGGTGGATTTTGAGACAAATAGGTGGGGGAAAAAATTAAGCAGCTAGATTATATTTATTTGTTTGTTAGCTACCACCGTCCCAGGATTGTTTGGCTGTTTTACCCAACAATCTTAAACATTATACAAATAAAAATGTTCACCTTCATCTAGACTAATAATAGTAGTGTTAAGTGGCCATGTAATAATTACTAGTACTGAAATGATTAGTCTAATAATCGATCAGTCAATAAAAACATTACAATCAAAGACAATTTTTAAAGTGAAAAATTTTATATAATAAATTTCCTGCTAACAGTTTTTCACAATTATGTGACATTTAATATAGGTCAAGTGATTTACTGATTAAATGAGAAAATAATCAATTTGATAATAAAAAATAATTGCTACTTGCAGCTCATAACTTTTGATCACAGCCATTACTTCAGCATTAGCATCAGCTGCTAATGACTGGCAGTGTTCCCAAGGAGCACATCTAAGTAGACATGGTTTCTGTGTGTTTTTGAAACAGCACATATGGTGTTGTCATTTCACCTTTCTAGCTGAAAACATAAAACATGTCTCTGTTGCATCTACTTCATTACTTCTAAACATTTATATAATAATAATAATAATAACAACAATAATAATAATAAATAAATAAATTTATTCTCTGTTTTGGATAACCTGCAGGCCAAATGTGATTGAGGTTGAGTGAGTTATAGAAAAATTAAACAAACTAAATAAAAATCCCTTGTTGGTCAAAGGTACATAAATCTTAAATTTTATCATTTGATTTAATGGAGAACTTCCTGAGAAATCTTATTCTGATCACACCTTTCCCTCCAACTAATTGGAGCCAGCATAGCGATCTGGTCTGGTGGTCAAATAATCACATCAGACTACCTAAACCTAATCATAAATAATGATTGATATTTCCCATAATATAACCTGTGGAAAACTTTCCAAAGTCATTTTAAATTACACTCTTGAGTATATTGTAGCATATAAGATTTAAAAAAAAAACACTATTAACCCTGCTTAAATTTAAAGTAAAATATATTCTAAAATGTAAATGAATGTAGAAAACATACTGCAGCAAATTCATGTATTTGAGAATTTCTTGTTTACATTTGTTTATTCTTCTTTAAAGCCTGTGAATTCTCACACACTGCCTCATTTAAAGCATCATTTCAGTCTGTTGTATGGGAAATTATGACAAGCCTGACTGTAAGGATGTTAAAGACCTATTATGTCAACATGGATTGGATTACAAAATCTTGAATGGTCCTGCCTCTAATCAAAACTGTCTTTACGTAATTTGGGAGTGTACTGTCCTCCCTGAATCAACACAGGATATGCTGTCAGGCATAAATATCTATGCACCTTCCTCATGATGCAGCTGTCCCTCTGTAGGAGTGGTCAAAAAGCTCTGTTTGCACTTGGAGGAGCTCCCACTGAACATGTATTTGAGAACATGCTAAATAACTTTATGTTTGTTTCCAAGATGTAACCATAGATAAAACAAATGGGTAAACAGCTTTCTTAAGGCCGAACGTGTGTGATGAGATGTAAAAGATCAGCCTACCAGCTGGAGTAATTAATAGCCTCCCTTGTTGTAAAGTACTCGGTTGAAGCATCTGTTTATCAAAGAAATTTGGGTAGGCTATTACTTTGGTGTTTAATTAACTGTTTAGTGAACTTTTCTTGGTCTGTTACAGAGTTTTCGACCATTAAATGGGGTTTAAACACATAGTTACTTTAGCCACTAGACAAAATTATTGTCATGACGTTGACTGAGAGTTGAATAAGGCTGCAGTTTGATACGATGCCAAGACTTGTGTGTGTGTTAGCGTGACACTGCAGGTAGAGGATGACTGTAATCAAGGATGTAATACAATGAGTTCACTTGGACATCCTGTGCTATTCATGAACGAGATGACATTTAAAAAATGCAGTGTGCTCTCTTACCACTTTAAAACATACATTAACTTCAAGTAGTGTAATAGTGAATAAATATTTTTTTTCTTTTAACAAGTTTTTATTTAATTTTTTTGAATATGTATCAACCCACACAGACACTTCACAAATCAATGAAACAAAAACACACAATCCTAACAAAGACAACCACAACCGACAAACAAAACAAAACAAAAACCATTGGCACCCTGGACAGCAACGTGTCTGGCAGAGGACATTTGTTGCATGTCGTTCCCCATGCATCTCTTCCCTCATCTCCTGTCATCTCTAATGTGTGCTCTACTACTTTCATATAAAGGCATAAAATGCCATTATTATAACATAAAAAACCTCCACTTATGCCAGTAAACTTTTGGTGGTATAATGTCACACTGATCTGTTTTTCGTGTCAGCAATATGCTTCCGTAGAACTACCGTACATGTCACAGATTTCAGTGTAACACCAGCTCCAGTGTTTCCTGAGGATCATACTGAGAAAGTAGTTTGACATGGTGACATGGTGCTCCCAGTGCTCCCAGTGCCTCAGTGGATTTATTTACGCTACGTTATGATTTGATTTTATTTAGTTTGTATTTTACACTGATGTAACTTGTTATCATTAATAATAAAATATACACTTTAGGGCATAGTTGACACATGTTCATACACATATCAGTAATCTATAGCTGCTTTTCCGGTGCAGGGCTGTGGAATCAAGTGTATCCTAGCTGACACTGGGCATGATGGGATTGGACAATAATCCAGTAATAATACTATTTTTGTAATTAATAACACAATTTGTATATCTATATATAAATGTAACATGGAATTTTATAGAAATATGTCACAGCATAGAATTCTCAAGTCCTGATCAGTCTGTGACACTGATTAATTATTTCATAATGACTTACTACTACTTACAGAATAAGTGTAGAACAGAGGAGCGCACTGTCAACAAAACTATTTTATTGCTGCTCATTCCTTCTGGAATACAAATTCTGAATTAAAGTGCAAACATATTTGTTCAATCAACAGATAAGGAGGATGTAGGAATTATTATATTGGACTTTTGAAAGGCGTCAGACATCCATTCAGCACATGTTTGGCAATAAAACATCAGTTCCCATTCCAAAGAAGGTGGGAGCAAAAAATGTGCAGTCTCAATATAAAGGGCTTTTAAGTGCAGTCTGATTATTACCTGCTCAGGAGACAGCAAGCCCAGGGTGACAAGGATGAGGTGGAGATGTGTGTGGTTGTGTTTCCTTTCTTTGTCTGTTGCCAGTGTCATTGATGTCCAAGCTAGACTGGGTAAGGTTCAAATGGTTTTGGATACTGTTGAACATTTTCAAGACTGTGTGAATTGATTATTCTGCTTTATTTATACATACAAGTGAATTATGTATAGCACTGTCTCCAATATCAGTAATGTAGAGCATTTACTAACTCAAAATTGTTTTCTACACTTTAAAATCATCCCCAGTTCGCAACCATGTCAGCAGCATCTGCAGCACTTGGGGAAGAGAGCACTTCAAGACATTTGATGGTGATGTGTACCAGTTCCCTGGTATGTGTGAATACAACCTGGCCTCAGACTGCCATGAGTCCTACCAGGAGTTCTCAGTGCACATGAAGAGGAAAGAGAATGATGGAAACCCTACAGTCAGTTATGTGGTGGTCACCATCAATGACCATTTATTCCACCTCACTAAGAGCCAGGTCACTGTGAATAGTCTTCCGTAAGTAAAAAGCTGTATTGCCTGTGAAAACAAGTGTAATCCTCTTTTCTATGACATTTATTAATTATTTAATAAAAAAACATTTTTCTTGTTCCCAGTATCAAAATGCCATACTACAACGCAGGGGTCCAAGTGGAAAGAAATGCTGTTTACATCAAGCTCCAATCTAAAGTCGGCCTCATTGTCACGTGGAATGGTGATGATGCAGTCATGGTAAAAAGTTAAAATAAAGATTTTCATCGTCTATATTCCTACTCTGCTAAAAACTGTATCTTGTTAAGAACATCAGAGCACCTATGGTGTGATACCCCAGGCAAAAATATATCTACACAGCTCTCCTTAAAGTATATCGTATGAGGCACAAGTGCATTGTAAAAAAAAAGATTTAAAAAAGTTGAGAGTCTTTTATTCATGTGGATTCTTTCAGTCACTTCTCTCTCTTGATTGAGTTATACTTGACAAATAAGAAATAAAACAGTGGTAATGAGAGTACATAAGTTTGAAGTATGATAGTACAAACCCCTTGCTGTGTTGTAGGTGGAACTGGATCCTGATTATGCTAATCGAACTTGTGGACTTTGTGGAGACTTCAATGGTGTTTCTGTCTACAATGAGTTCATTCATAATGGTATGTGTGGTTATTCACTTTGGGTATTTATGCATTCAAACAATCATCCACTGTATCTTTGATATTTCACACTATTATTACAATCAACTGCAGGTCGCAAAATGAGCCCCATTGAGTTTGGCAACAATCAGAAAGTCCATCGTCCAAACGACAATTGCGAGGACCCTTTTGAAGAGGAAGATGAATCACTGGAGGCTGTTACTGTGCCGGATTCATGCAAGGAGTTTGTGAGTTTATTATCCAACTAATTTTGGCATTTTGTAGCATTTTCAACACAGTAACTTTGTCTCTTTTACCCATCTCTTTTTACCTTTTAGCAAACCACCTGTGAACGAATGCTTCGTTCAGAGTCCTGGAGCTCCTGCACCAAACTGATTAACCCTGAACCTTACATCCAGGCCTGTGTGCAGGACATGTGTGGCTGCAACAACAGAACAAATGACTTCTGTGTCTGCAGCACGCTTTCGGAGTTGTCTCGACAGTGCTCCCACGCAGGAGGGCAGCCTCCCAACTGGAGGACACCTCAGTTCTGTGGTAATGTTTGTGTCCTCTATTTTTGTTTTGTTAACATCTTAATAATTTATACAGTACAGGATGGAGAGGTTACTAAAGCACTGAAAAAAGCTCAGTGAAAGGTTTTTAAATATTTTAATAGTTCTTTGAATTAAAGGTACTATGGTACTGTATACGGTGGCACGGTGTTGCAGTGGTTAGCACTGTCGCCTCACAGCAACGCGGGTTCAAACCCCGTTGCCCTGGCCTTTCTGTGTGGAGTTTGCATCTCCGGGTGCTCCAGCTTCCTCCCACTGTCCAAAGACATGCGGACTAGGTAATTAATTGGTGACCCTAAATTGTCCTTAGGTGTGAGCATGAGTGGTTGTTTGTCTATGTGTGGCCCTGCGATGGACTGGCCAGTCCAGGGTGTACCCCGCCTTTCGCCTGATGTCAGCTGGGATTGGCTCCTGCCTGTACACAGGATAAGTGGTTGACGATGGATGGATATTACTGTATGAATATTATTACATTTTCTCATGTAGCTCTAGGGTGTCTATTTTACAATTTAGCAAAAACAGTTTCAAACTACACAAGTGCAAGTGAAATAATTACACAACAAATCTACTTTTGTTACACTAAATAAAATTAGTTTCATCCACCTTTGATATACTATTGAATAATTCACACCTGCCTCAGTTTTTTTGTCAATTGCACCTTATCTTCGCAGCTAAACAGTGCCCATTCAACATGGTTTATGAAGAGAGTGGTTCCCCTTGTATAGACACATGCACACATCTGGACACAAGTTCACTGTGTGAAGGCCACAAAATGGATGGCTGCTTCTGTCCTCCTGGTTGGTACTCTTTACATATGCACATTTTTCATGTTTCAGTTTTTGTTACCCTTAAAGTTTCTTTTAGACTTCATCTTCCTATTCTGTGAATATTCATGTTCATGTCACATGTGTTTATGTCAGGAACTGTGTTTGATGATATTTCCTTGAGAGGGTGCATTGCTCAATCTGAATGTCAGTGCAAGCACGACAAAATCTATAACCCTGGTGAAGTTTACCGACAGGACAGAGAGGAATGGTATGTCACGTATTTCATAATGTCAGTAACATAATATTTCATACTGGTCTCCTTAAACATTTATATTTTTTTGCTAACTTTAATTATTTGAATTGTTCTAGCACATGTTTTGAGGGTAGATGGGCTTGTGAGAGCCTTCAGACTCCTGCTACATGTGCAGTGGAAGAGGGTTCACATGTAACTACATTTGATGGGAAAACTTACACCTTTCATGGAGACTGTTTCTACACCCTAGCCAAGGTGGAAAGCAAGGTGAATCAACTGTTGCTTTAAAAATATATAATTTGCTGATGAAAGAAATTTGCTATTTAATTTTGCCCATACAATGTGTATTTCAGACTGATTCAAGTCCAAAGTTTACCATCCTGGTTCAGTTGGTGCCATGTAGACATCTAGAGTCTGACACTTGTCTTAAGACCCTTAAAATCCTGCTGAACAATGACAAAAACAACGTGAGTTAAAGAAGAGTAGTTATTTATTAATTCATACTGATATCTGCAACTCTCCAATGATCAATTGTATTTTTATTCAGGTGTTGACGTTCACTTCCGATGGTACAGTAAAGCAGAATATGCAGACTATCACTTTGCCACACCACTCAGGTGGGTCACACAATATGAAACTCTTGTATGTATGAATTATACATATTATTGTCTTCTTTCATTTATGCATCAGCAAATGATCTGACTTTTTTTGGGAATTTGTCTTTATTCAAAGGTGACATCAACATATTCCATGCTTCATCCTTTCACATCTTGCTCCAGACCAGCTTTGGGTTGCAAATTCAGATCCAGCATGTGCCTGTCATGCAAGTCTATGTCAGCCTGGAACAGAGCTACAGAGCAAAGACACGTGGTACGTTTTACCTTTGTCTTCACATGAAATATTGGCATCATCAAATTATTTTGTAACATTAGAATACAGTACATTAATGCATTATTAGTTGCCGTAGATATTGCATACTACAGTCTGGCAATGATGACAACAGTAATGTTGATTTATTAGGGTATTATGAAACAAAACAATACAGTCTTATAAATTTATCAGTTAAAAACCCACAATATTTATTGGCTAAGTAGTGCTAAACAGTTGGACACAAATGTGTATTATAATATTTGGTAATAGTTTAATAGTCAGTAATCACACAGAAAATTTCGAAATCCCTGGTTGTCACCCCATCATGTTCCACCCATCCCTGAATCCCTCCAAACAAAAAAACAATATAAGGTATATAAATACATGAGTAAATGAAATAGGGGTGGCTTTCAAATATACATCAATTGTATACAATTTTATCTTAATTACAATAAATGAACCATATTCCTAATCCCGTGTCTTTAGGTTTATGTGGGAACTACAACATGGTCCTGTCTGATGACATGAAGACTCCACAGGGGATCGTGGAGGGAACAGCAGCAACTTTTAGTAACTCCTGGAAGGCTAACTTCATGTGCCGAGACAGAGAGGAAAGACTTGATGACCCCTGTGCCTTCAGTGTGGAAAATGGTAAAAAAAAAAAAATACACTCACTGATTATACTACTGTTTGTTTGTTTATTAGACATTTAGACAGTTCAACAGAATAGTGGACAGTAAAAGTTAAAAGTTAATTGTTCTCCACTTTTAGAGAATTACGCAAAACACTGGTGCACCTTGCTACTAAGTCCAAACAGTACCTTTGCACAGTGCCATTCAGTGACGGATCCTGAGATGTACTACAAGGTACAGCAAAAAATTCTCATCTTTGACTGACTTACATTTTGATGAGTATAATTTTGTGTTAAGTGTTTGCTCTCTTCTGCAGCGATGTACTTATGCTAGCTGTAACTGTGAGAAGAGTGAGGCCTGCCTCTGTGCTGTCTTCTCCTCCTATGCCAGAGCTTGTGCATCAAAGGGAGTGTTCCTGACAGACTGGAGACAGAATGTTTGCGGTAAGTATTTATTTCATTGTTATGTTTTGGTAAAGTTGAGTGAGTGAGTGAGTTTGATGAACATCTTCCCTTTCGTTTGTTAGACATAAAACTATGAAGTAATCAACTTTACATTGTGCACAAAACAGATAAATACACAAGGAGCTGTCCAGCATCTCAGACCTTCTCTTACAAGAATCAGAGATGCCAGCTGACTTGCAGATCGTTGGGCGCAAAGCAGAAAAGCTGCACTTCTGACTTCTTGCCTGTGGATGGCTGCTCCTGCTCAGAGGGTCTCTACCTAAATGAAAACGGTTTGTGCGTCCCCATGGCAAAATGCTCCTGCTACCATAATGAAGTCTACATCCAGGCAGGAAAGTCCATCAGCATGAAAGACGAGCACTGGTGAGTAAGTTGTTTGCAATTTGGTGTCAATGGACTTAAAATAATTTATCCTGGACTAAGGTTTTTAGCATGAATGCAATGTCTGTTGTATGTGAGAAACTAAATTGTTAGTGTTGTACTTTTATTTTTAATTTAAAATGTCTTTTTCTAGTGTGTGCACTAATGGAATACTTCATTGCCATTCTATGAGATCCCGCTCATCAAGTATGTTTCACTTTTTGTTTGTTTTTTAAGCACAACACAACTTTTTGGTTGATAAATGTATATTAAATTAGTTTCTGCTTCTTTTACAGTATGCCCTTTTCCAAAAGTATTCTACAACTGCTCCACTGCAGGCACAGGAGAGCTTGGACTGCAGTGTGCTCGAACTTGTTTAAATCTGGACAGCAATGATTGTGTGAGCTATTTATGCATGAGTCCAAATTGACGTCTTGGTCTCAAATCACTGGATCTAATATATATTTCCTGAATTTAAAGGTGTAATGTAACAATACAGTGTGTTACACCTTAATTAGTTTCTGTAGCATTTTCTGGAGAATTTTGCACACGTAATTCTTAACAAGTATCAGTAGTGTTTTCTCATTTTCTATCCCTGTGATCTTTCCATTTTCCCAGGACTCCACAGAGTGTGAATCTGGCTGTCAGTGTCCAGGTGGCCTTATTGATGATGGCAAAGGCTCCTGTGTGAAAGAAAATGAATGTCCATGTCAGCATGATGGGCGTCTTTATAGTGCTGGAACAAAAATCCCTAACCAGTGCAACAGCTGGTACGAACTTGTTTTAATCAGATGTATGATGTAGCATGGTAAACAAATATTATCATGTTTGCCTGCATGTTTTTTTTTTAATTGCAGTATTCAAATCACTATATTATTATTTTTTTTTTTTCCCAATTTCCGATACATCTAGTACCTGCAAAAATGGAAACTGGGAGTGCACAGAGAAAAAATGTCCTGGAACTTGCATTATTTATGGGAGTGGTCACTACAATACATTTGATCAGCGAACATATGGGTTTCAAGGACATTGCGAATATGTTGCTGTTAAGGTAAACAAAGCATGTCAAAATCTTCTAAATGACAGGCTGTGTCTGAAATCACCCCATTTTCGCTCTTTCACTACTCACTATCTTGTACACTTAATATTTTACTTAATCGTGAGCAGTTAATTGAGAATTCAAAATGCAGCACATTGCATGGTGGGATTGTCAGTAAAAAGTAGTGTCCATGCCATGGATCTTTTGTACAATTTAACAATCTAATAAAATATATACAGTAAATGTACTGCACTATATGGTAAGTAGGGAGTGATTTAAGACACAGCCAAAAGTTATACTTAATATTATATCCTCTCAGTCTCCATCTCATTAATTCATGGATGACGTTTATAAAACCTATTGCTAATCTTGAACACCAGAGTTAAGAGACAGTCAATTTTTGATGATTGCCTCAACTATGGTATATTTACTGACATTCACTTTAAAATAAGTGCTTGTCATAATGAGAAACATGAATGAAAATTGCATATAACTAATGTGATTGTGCTCTCCTGGGGATCAATTACACTTGATTTTATGTCCTAGCTTTTCTGGAAAAATATTAATATTGTGGGCTAGTAAAGGCCAAGCTGAAGTTTGATTTGATCAATGGTCTCTGTGTACTGTGAAGCAAACATGCAAAATGTTGATAATAATAATAATGAATATCTCTCTTTTAAGAACAACTGTGGGACTAAAACAGTACAGGACAACTTTGGTGTTATCACAGAAAATGTACCATGTGGAACTACAGGTACTACATGCTCCAAAATTGTCCGAATCCAACTGGGGGTAAGACAAAATACCAGCACCTGCTTTCTGTGCCTAAAATTCTGAACATAACTCAATACATTATGTCATATATCAAGCTGCAGTTTTTACTTTACAATGAAAACAACTGAAATCTCCTTAACATTGCAGCGAATGGAAGTCAAACTATCAAAGGGTCACTATAAGGAAGAGGACCTTGGAGATGGCCCTCAGATTCAGTACAAAATAAGGAGGGTTGGGTTGTATCTGGTTATAGAATCTGCCATTGGTCTGACAGTGATGTGGGATCGCAAAACAACTGTTCGCGTCCTCCTAGAACCACGGCACAGCGTGAGTCACTGTGGTTGTTGATGGAGTCATTGTTTGTGATGATGACTGAAATCTCTTTCAGTGTCAGAGTTTTAGAGTTTTGATATGATGGACCATTTTTTTCTCATCTGTAGTTTTTCTATCTTGGCTGATCATTTTGTTTTGCCCTTTATAAGCTTTCTGACAAAAATGGCAACACTTCCAATATTCATAACATATGAAGTAAATACAATTGAATATTCTGTTTGTCAACATAATACAGGTGTAGTGACGCCTGGAAAATGCTTGTTTCTTGTATCTATATAGAATATTGTCCTCTTATAAAGTAAGGAACTGACTCCTTTTGTTCGGCCATACAGGGAGAGGTATGTGGCCTGTGTGGAGATTTTGACGGTGATGGACAGAATGACTTCACCACCCAGGGTCAGCTGGCAGTGAGCAATCCATTAGAGTTTGCAAACAGTTGGAAAGTGTCAAGCAGCTGCGCAGATGTGGAAATGAATGTTGACCCTTGTGGAGCAAGACCTAATAGACATCACTGGGCAAAAATGATGTGCAGCATTATAATTGCAAAGGATGGTACTTTCAAAGACTGCCACTATAAGGTAATGTTTGCTAATTATCATCATTTAAAGTAACATGATTTAATGTTAAACACATTATAAAAATCGATCATATGTTTTTATAACTAAACAGGTAGATCCCCATCCATTTTATGAAAACTGTGTGACAGACTCATGTGCTTGTGACTCTGGAGGAGACTGTGAGTGTTTCTGCACAGCAGTTGCATCTTATGCTCAAGCTTGTAATGAGGCCGGTGTCTGTGTTGCATGGAGAACTCCAGAGATCTGTCGTAAGTAAACAACAATTTCCAAGACCATGTTTTTAGATCCCCAAATCCTTATGACCCCAGCATTTGAGATTTGATATGTGTGATGTATGTATGGGAATTCTTTGCTAAGATATTATATTCTGCCCTGTTTATTTTTTATTATATATAAAATGTGTGAATGGGCACCAAATCTAATTAAAGCTGACATATATTACAGAGACTCTATGGGTATCAGTGCATGCTTCATGAAAAGTATGTTTTTAAAGACTTCCCTGATTTGTATACTTCAATTTATGCTTAAATGAAGTGTGATTTTGTGTTATAAAATGTTATTGAATTTATTTTGTTGGCATGAAGGTTGTTTTTATCATTATCTATACTATTCTTTTTTCTGACATTTGGTGTGAGTGACAACTTCCTTTGTTAACTAAAATCGAATGCAAGAATATAACAGGTGGTTTGAAGTTTGAGTTCTCAGTGACACTTTATACAGAGATGAATCTACTGTTTTAAATCAACATTTCCTTTATTTAAAACATAACATCCATTGTGTCTTTTCTTTTAGCTGTCTTTTGTGACTACTACAACAGCCCAGGTGAATGCAAATGGCACTACAACCCTTGCCACACACCTTGCTACAAGACCTGCTTGAATCCACAAGGAATTTGTAGCAACCCTATACCCCACCTGGAAGGTAAGAGGTTAACTCACGATGTCTCACCTTACCTCTCATTCATGTGCTTGTTAAAATAGTAAATGTTGAAGTGATTCTATTTGAAAGAGTACCTGGTCAGCTTCAGCTTCTGTGATTTTTGCAGGCTGTTACCCTGTATGCCCAGAAGATAAGCCCATATTTGATGAGAAGACCCAGATGTGTGTGGAGGAATGTCCAGGTTGCTTTTACAATGGAACTAGATATGAGGAAAATGATGTTATTTACAACGTGACTGACAATTTGGGAACGTGCTACCATGCAATATGCTTTAATGCAACAGTGATATTTGGAAATGAAATCTGCACAACACCTGAACCTCCAACTACAACACCAGTGTCAACTATAACCACACAAACTACAACTGAACCTCCCACTACAACCACAGTGCCAACTACAACCACAAAAGGTCCAACTGAACCTCCAACCACAACACCAGGGCCAACTACAACCACACAAACTACAACTGAACCTCCAACTACAACACCAGTGCCAACTACAACCACACAAACTACAACTGAACCTCCCACAACAACCCCAGTGCCAACTACAACCACAGAAGCTACAACTCCTACCACTACTCCGTGTATTACAACCTGCGAGTGGTCAGACTGGTATGATGTGCATAACCCTCAAAAGGACAAAAGTGACTGGGAAACATACAAGAACATCACAGATAGTGGTCTACAAATATGCAAAAAACCCACAGAAATTGATTGTAGAGCAACAATTTCTCCTAACAAAGACTTCAATGACTTTGTGAGTGAAACTGGCCAAGTTGTTACCTGTGATGTTGGATATGGTCTGATATGTCGAAAAGAGGATCAGGTCAGACCTCCACGGAAATGCTTCAACTATAAGATCAGAGTATGTTGTGAGGTAGAGATATGTATTACTACAACCACAGTGCCAACTACAACCACAGGGCCAACTACAACCACACAAACTACAACTGAAACTCCAACTACAACCACACAAACTACAACTGAAACTCCAACTACAACCACAGTGCCAACTACAACCACAAAAGTTCCAACTGAACCTCCAACTACAACACCAGGGCCAACTACAACCACACAAACTACAACTGAAACTACAACTACAACCACAGTGCCAACTACAACCACAGTGCCAACTACAACCACACAAACAACAACTGAACCTCCCACTACAACCACAGTGCCAACTACAACCACAAAAGGTCCAACTGAACCTCCAACTACAACACTAGGGCCAACTACAACCACACAAACTACAACTGAAACTCCAACTACAACCACAGTGCCAACTACAACCACAAAAGTTCCAACTGAACCTCCCACTACAACACCAGGGCCAACCACAACCACACAAACTACAACTGAACCTCCCACTACAACCACAGTGCCAACTACAACCACAAAAGGTCCAACTGAACCTCCAACTACAACACCAGGGCCAACTACAACCACACAAACTACAACTGAACCTCCAACTACAACACCAGTGACAACTACAACCACACAAACTACAACTGAAACTCCAACTACAACCACAGTGCCAACTATAACCACACAATCTACAACTGAACCTCCAACTACAACCACAGTGCCAACTACAACCACACAAACTACAACTGAAACTCCAACTACAACCACAGTGCCAACTACAACCACACAAACTACAACTGAACCTCCCACTACAACCACAGTGCCAACTACAACCACACAAACTACAACTGAAACTCCAACTACAACCACAGTGCCAACTACAACCACAAAAGGTCCAACTGTACCTCCAACTACAACACCAGGGCCAACTACAACCACACAAACTACAACTGAAACTCCAACTACAACCACAGTGCCAACTACAACCACACAAACTACAACTGAACCTCCCACTACAACCACAGTGCCAACTACAACCACACAAACTACAACTGAACCTCCCACCACAACACCAGGCCAACTACAACCACAAAAGGTCCAACTGTACCTCCAACTACAACACCAGGGCCAACTACAACCACAAAAGGTCCAACTGAACCTCCAACTACAACCCCAGTGCCAACTACAACCACAGAAGCTACAACTCCTACCACTACTCCGTGTATTACAACCTGTGAGTGGTCAGACTGGTATGATGTGCATAACCCTCAAAAGGACAAAAGTGACTGGGAAACATACAAGAACATCACAGATAGTGGTATACAAATATGCAAAAAACCCACAGAAATTGATTGTAGAGCAACAATTTCTCCTAACAAAGACTTCAATGACTTTGTGAGTGAAACTGGCCAAGTTGTTACCTGTGATGTTGGATATGGCCTGATATGTCGAAAAGAGGATCAGGTCAGACCTCCACGGAAATGCTTCAACTATAAGATCAGAGTATGTTGTGAGGTAGAGATATGTATTACTACAACCACAGTGCCAACTACAACCACAGGGCCAACTACAACCACACAAACTACAACTGAAACTCCAACTACAACCACAGTGCCAACTACAACCACAAAAGGTCCAACTGAACCTCCAACTACAACACCAGGGCCAACCACAACCACACAAACTACAACTGAACCTCCCACTACAACCACAGTGCCAACTACAACCACAAAAGGTCCAACTGAACCTCCAACTACAACACCAGGGCCAACTACAACCACACAAACTACAACTGAAACTCCAACTACAACACCAGTGACAACTACAACCACACAAACTACAACTGAAACTCCAACTACAACCACAGTGCCAACTACAACCACACAATCTACAACTGAACCTCCAACTACAACCACAGTGCCAACTACAACCACACAAACTACAACTGAAACTCCCACTACAACCACAGTGCCAACTACAACCACACAAACTACAACTGAAACTCCAACTACAACCACAGTGCCAACTACAACCACACAAACTACAACTGTACCTCCAACTACAACACCAGGGCCAACTACAACCACAAAAGGTCCAACTGAACCTCCAACTACAACCCCAGTGCCAACTACAACCACACAAACTCCAACTGAACCTCCAACTACAACACCAGTTCCAACTACAACCACACAATCTACAACTGAACCTCCCACTACTACCACAGTGCCAACTACAACCACAAAAGGTCCAACTGAACCTCCAACTACAACACCAGGGCCAACTACAACCACACAAACTACAACTGAACCTCCAACTACAACACCAGTGACAACTACAACCACACAAACTACAATTGAAACTCCAACTACAACACCAGTTCTAACTACAACCACACAATCTACAACTGAACCTCCCACTACTACCACAGTGCCAACTACAACCACAAAAGGTCCAACTGAACCTCCAACTACAACACCAGGGCCAACTACAACCACAAAAGGTCCAACTGAACCTCCAACTACAACACCAGGGCCAACTACAACCACACAAACTACAACCACAGTGCCAACTACAACCACAGAAGCTACAACTGAACCTCCAACTACAACACCAGTGCCAACTACAACCACACAAAAAACAAGTGAACCTCCCACTACAACCACAGTGCCAACTACAACCACACAAACTACAACTGAAACTCCCACTACAACCACAGTGCCAACTACAACCACACAAACTACAACTGAAACTCCAACTACAACCACAGTGCCAACTACAACCACACAAACTACAACTGAACCTCCCACTACAACCACAGTGCCAACTACAACCACAAAAGGTCCAACTGAACCTCCAACTACAACACCAGGGCCAACTACAACCACACAATCTACAACTGAACCTCCAACTACAACCACAGTGCCAACTACAACCACACAAACTACAACTGAAACTCCCACTACAACCACAGTGCCAACTACAACCACAAAAGGTCCAACTGAACCTCCCACTACAACACCAGGGCCAACCACAACCACACAAACTACAACTGAACCTCCAACTACAACACCAGTGCCAACTACAACCACAAAAGGTCCAACTGTACCTCCAACTACAACCACAAAAGGTCCAACTGAACCTCCAACTACAACACCAGGGCCAACTACAACCACACAAACTACAACTGAACCTCCAACTACAACACCAGTTCTAACTACAACCACACAATCTACAACTGAAACTCCCACTACTACCACAGTGCCAACTACAACCACAAAAGGTCCAACTGAGCCTCCATCTACAACACCAACTACAGAATGCTTCTGTATAGTTAATGGCAAGCATTATAGTCCAGGTAAGGAAATACATTTAAATATTTGACAGTGGCAAGCTATATGCAGTCTCAAATTCTTTCAAATTCAAAAGATTTACCGCTGTGTTTTCTCACCATTAGGGGATGTAATATTTGACATGGAACACATTGGATCAGGTGTATGTCTCACAATGACATGTTCTGCTATTTGTGAGATTCACAACAAGACTGAAATTTGCACGACTACGGCTATGCCTTCAACCACTCCTTCAACCACTCCTTCTGTACCTACCTGCCCTGAATGGGATGTAGGAGTAAGAATCTTAATATACCTAGCACATTAAAACATGTACTAATTTATGTTATACTCATATATTTCATAACACTGCACATTTGCAAATGAAAAGAAAAACAGGTTTCTTGCAGTGATTTTACCCCCTTTTTTCTCTTTACATCAGCAAAATGATACTTTTTATCTGTGCAACTGCACCATGGCCAGATGCATTGAGAACAATACAATTGAAATAATTCCATATGAATGTCCACCTATTGAGAACATCACTTGTGCCAATGGAAAGAAACCAGTTCTTGTGTATGATGAGTACTTCTGCTGCCGACATTACGCTTGTGACTGTACGTTTTTCTATGGTTAAAATAACTCATATGTTTCTCTTTTAAATACATTTTAGATTTTAAACTTTTTTGTTTTTCTTTTCAGGTGTATGTGAAGGCTGGGGAGATCCTCATTACAACACATTTGATGGACTTTATTACAGTTATCAAGGAAATTGTACTTATGTCTTGATGGAAGAGATTTTTCCAAAACACAACTTGAAGATTTATATTGACAATGTCTTTTGTGATCCCACTGAAGATGTTTCTTGTCCGAGATCGATAATTATATCATACAATGGACATGTTTTCACGCTCATAAATCATAACCTTGTTGGAGCAGCACGGTTAGAGGTAAATAGGGTGACATGAAGGCTTTATAGTTACATTATACATTTTGAAAAGCTCACCAGACTAACTTCATGGAGATTAATACTGTTAATGTAAGGGAAACAGCAGTCATGTCATAGTATATTATATTTTTTCTTGTCATATAGTGTATTTATTGTTTTTCCTATAGGCACTCAAAGATGGAGCATCTCTGAAGCTACCTTATTTACCCACACAAACAGGTGTTAAGATCTTGAATTCTGGCATTAACTTGATTTTGGAGATCCTTCGTCTAAATGTGGTCATTACATTTGGAATCACTGGCTTTAGTGTCAATCTTCCATTTAAAAACTTTGGCAATAACACACAGGGTCATTGTGGTAAGAACATCTCTCTCTTCAGCTGCCATATTGGTCAATCATTTGCTTGAGTTTAGACCGTAATATTAACTGTTTTGTGACTCTGCTGTCAGGAACATGCAATAACAACCAGACTGATGACTGCATGTTGCCTGGAGGCCAGCTAGTGGAAAGTTGTGCCGTAATGGCTGACTATTGGCTTACCAAGGACATATCTCAACCTAACTGCCAGATACCATCTGTACTGCCCACCAGTAAACCTGAACCTCCACCAACTCCTTGCAGGCCAGACTCCATGTGTGATCTGCTGAAGAGCAGGTAGACATTCTCAAATCTATCGTAGTAGTTCACATTCACCCCCTTAACTTTGACATATTGCAGTTAAATTATAATAGCTTTTTTATTTGGGTTTTAATATATGTTTTACTTTCACAGTGTCTTTGCAGAATGCCATCCCTTTGTCTCACCTGACAATTTCCACCGAGGTTGTGTTTTTGATAGCTGCCATGTTTCCAACCCAGTAGTGGAGTGCACAAGTTTGCAGACTTACGCTGCTGTCTGTGCTCAGGCAGGGGTTTGCATTCACTGGAGGAATCATACAAACTGTGTGGTAGGCAACCACTTATGTTAAATTCTAGGATCAGTATAATAAGGAGGGGAAACTCATTTATTTTACTTTTGTTGTATCTAGCACGCATTGAACAGGCTTTTTTTGTATACAGTATGTACGCTGTATGCCTTTTAAAAATAACCAATTGAGTTATTTTAATTACTAACAGCAAGTGCCTGCCCATCAAACAAAGTGTACAAGCCATGTGGTCCTGCAGAACAGCCAACCTGTGAAGACAAGTAAGTTTCAACAAAAATGAACTGTGCTCATTTTACAGTTTATTTGCATATTGGCATTTCCTACAACAAGGATCTAACTGAACTGACAGTACATATTTCTTGTTAACAACATAGTAATAAGCATATTAGAAAACAGTAAAGTAACTGTGTTACTGTGTTGAGATCTCAAATAAGTACTATCTGTTCTTTCCTGATGATTCAATATTACAGCCCTAATGAACTAACCATGAACTTCACCACTGAGGGCTGCTTTTGTCCTGAGGGAATGAAACTCTTCAACAAAGAGTCTGGCCTATGTGTTAATAAGTGTGGTAAGTCCTCAAGTCTTATCATTGAGTTGAATATATTTCATCAATCTTGAAGTTCTACAGGATTGCTATTTTTCCAACAGGATGTCTTGATCCTGAGGGTATTCCGCGTGAGGTGAGCCAAGTCTTCTATAATGTTAAAATCCTAACTAGTGTTATTTACTTGCAAGAGATAATTATGTCATTACTGTGGTTTGTTCTTTCAGTTTAATGAGAGGTTTGAGTACAAATGCCAAAACTGCATCTGCAACGAGTCCTCCAAGACTGTGTCTTGTAAGCCTAAGGTGTGCCCAACACCCCCTCTAACAAACTGCACTGGTCCAGGGTTTGTCCTTGTCAAACAACCAGATCCCTCAGACCCCTGCTGTTCTGCTGATGTTTGCCGTAAGTTACCTAGCCTCAATGCACATTTGACTTCCACAGATTTCAGAATCCTATTCATCAACAGCTCTGGAGGATGGATCTTAACTATTTACTATCATTGTCTGATCATCACCATAGAATGTCACAGCAACACTTGCCCAGTCACCAGCATGAACTGTCCAGTTGGATACACGTCAGTTGTCAGTGTTCCTGAAGGAAAATGCTGTCAAGAACATATATGTGGTGAGCTTATTAAGTTTGACGTTATAAAGAACCTAGTGACAGAAGTGACACTTTTAACACAGTTTCCATTGTCTTGCTCTTTTTTAGAGCCTAAAAGAGTTTGTGTCCACAAAGGAAGTGAATACCAGGTAAATAAGAAATGGAAATGTGAGAAAGATTTGTAATTTGTTAATATATCACCTTTGTCATTTAATAGGATCTATTGCTTTCTGTATGGTTAGAAACACAAGTAAGAATAAATTTCTTCTTTATTTGCTAGCCTGGTACTTTGGTTCCTGTAATAGAATGTCAGAAGTGTCTCTGTACCAATGAAGTGGACCCAAGTACTCGTCTATTCAAGATAACTTGTGAGTTCCAGCATTGTCAAGAAAACTGTGAAATGGTAAGAGAAATGACCCATTATTACCATATACACATTTTTTTCCTCAGAACATGTTTACTGGGAGGGTGAAAATCTGGACTTGGCAACTAAATCCCCTCTTTCTTTCAGGGATATGAATATGTGGAAACTGATTCAGATGAATGCTGTGGAAAGTGTGTACAGACACAGTGTGTCGTCAGTGTCAATAGCACCAAGCAACTCTTGATGGTAAGTTGGGTCTGTTGGTAATGACTCCACATGGTCATATTTAATAGGTTAAAGTACCTCAGTATTTTGATATCTGTGTGTGTGTGTGTGTGTGTGTGTGTGTGTGTGTGTGTGTACATCTCACTGCTCTCCAGCCAGGACAAACCTGGTCACCACCTGAGAATAAGTGCGAGTACTACACCTGTGTGAAGAGTGGTGAAACTTTAACAACGATAAGTTCACACACTGTCTGCCCACCATTCAAAGAAAGCAACTGCCAACCTGTAAGTATCACTTTCAATAAATTATTTTCCATTGACTTAATAAATGCTGTTGATTTTATACTAAATCCTTTTCTGAAAGCAAACGACATCATCCCTTTTGAAAATAGTTTGAAATGTTGTTTATTTTCCTTCTTAGGACACAATTCAGACTGCAGCAAATGGCTGTTGTAAAATTTGTGAGTATGACATTTTCTTTACTTTTAGATAGAAGGTACTTAAATGAAAACAGTAAAATAAAGGGTGTGTCTCTTTTGAAAAGGTGTGGAGCGGGAGAAGGCCTGCAAATTAGAATCCATGAAAACCCAGATTATGCTCAGGGATTGTCAGTCATACCAGGAGGTGGATATGCCCTATTGTGAAGGATCCTGCAACACTTTTGCCAAGTAAGCATGATATTATTAATATTTCTCATATCACAACCTATTACATTTGGTAAATTAAGATTTTTGATATAGTTTCTGCAGATTTTAAGTTTATTAATCAATCCTGCCTCTGCTTTCTTCAGGTACTCTGAAGCAGCAGCAGCTCTGCATTATTCTTGCTCCTGCTGTAAGGAGACACGCTTCAGCAATCGCACCATTGACTTGCACTGCCTGAATGGAGATGTGGTTCCCTACACATACATCCATGTGGAGGAGTGTAGCTGTAGCCCCACAGACTGCAACACAGCTGCTGGACAACCTGCTCGCAGGAGGCGATCATCACATTAGTGGATGTGGGATGTGAAAGTTTTTTCCCATATTGTCTTAACAATCATTGCATCTCCTACAAAATAATTGTCATTGTAGAGAGAGTATTTATCTGTTGATTAAATAAAAAAATTGCAACTCTATTTATGTCCCATCTCATATATTATCTTGTGTCTTTGTGCCAATCCAGCTTTTGTTTGTTCATTGTTTAAATTTGTAATCATGATTATCAATTTTCAAAACTAACAAGAATAGTTATTATCAATTTCACACAGACCCAAAAGATATATCTTTTGTATCTGACATTTGGTATCTTTGGAAGCTCTGGGGTCTCCACTAAAATTTAAAGTTCTCAGATCAGTGGGGTCAACAGTGAACATTTTAACAGGCTATGTATTGCTGTGGTGTGAGAACAGCTGGTATGCAGTGTATATACTTTTCTCTGTGGCAGTGAGCGACAACAATACTCAGGCAAATGTATCTTATCTTACTCTTATCTTATCTAAATATGATCTTACTACTACGTGTAAGAAAGAAGGTAATGATACCAGGAAACAAGAAAACTTGTGTAAACTTTCCCAGCTGCAGTCCCACCGTCCAGACCTATAACAGTAGGGGGTGTGATTTTACATTCTCTTTAACAACAGCATTGTGGTCAGAGGGCAACAGGAATTAATATTATTATTTAATAATAATTAAATTAATATTATCACCTGCATTATCCCCCAAACGATTTGTACAATGCATCAACAAAAATAAAAATGTTTATTATCAATAGAACTGAATGATTTGAAAAAATATCTATTTGCAATTATTTGACTGACATTGCAATTGTGATTTGTGATGCTGGGGGCATTCATCATTATTCTCATTTTTATTGAAAAACAAATAAAATTTAATTATGGTGTGATTTTTTGCAGGAATCTACACCTACGATCTTTAGCTTAAAAAAGTATTTTATACTATATTGTACTGTGTTTATACATTACCTTCAAGAAAGTGCTTTAATGACAGCTTTAATGACCACCTGTTTTTGAAATAAATCTGTGACTGCAATGAGAGGCACAAATAGAGGCCATTTTAGCTGATAGAAATCCACATTTAGGTTACTGTGATCGTCAGGTTTAACATGCTGAGGCTGACTGAAAGAATTTATTCCATGTGGGCTGCGATAACTTGAAAATTTTAAAGTTAGAAAGGAGTGTTTTGGGGCAACATTAATGCTTGTTTGTATTTTTATTCATCGTGCTGAAAAGTGCACTAGATTACATTGTTGCATTCCTGTTCTAATTTCTGAAGAATCAAATTATGGATGCCAATGTAAAGCAACTCAACTGGGGTTGGAATCTCAAGCTGATGATACACGGGGCAACTTTTTGAGCAATGTTGCTGGGCAATCTTGCTAGTTGCAAGTCCGACTATGTTTTGAACGGATAGTGCGGGGCGGGTGGCGGAGTGGTGGGGGAAATGGATTACGGTAGTAATCTTTACTCATTACCACTGACGGCAACATTGCCCTGCACGATTGCTCTAAAAGTTACTCTGTGTGTCATCACCTTCAGCCCAGCTTCATTCATTGTCAACCTATGGTTGATCACATGATCAATAAGTGTGGCCCTGAACTCATCAGTGATGGCTCTCACTTCTTTGCCCTCGTCCTCCTGGTCGTCCTCCTCCTTTTCTAACACTTCCTCCTTGAACTTGTCCTCATTGTTGTCCCTTGCCTCTCCCTCCTACTCCCCTTGCTCTCTGTCCATTGTTGGCATCCATTGTTCAAAACAGTAGTATACAGTAGACCTATAAATATAGGTTTACTTTATACTAAAGCAGTGATTGGTAAGTGATCAGTAAAGCAGTTTGTGTTTGCACATGTGAGGAGTGGGTGTGAGACCTGGTCAGTAAGTGTAGCATTTTCATTGGTAGTGTTTTGAAAAGGAAAGCGGGTCACTTCCTGTTTGATTTTTGTGTCTTAGGTAGAGAATTGTGTATAGTATTTTGATGCAATTGAAAACTGAGCGAAAGGCTGAGAAATAGCTAATGTTTTATTGAGATTTGAGATGAGGTTTTGCTCTTTGAGTGAGAGGTTTCAAAAATTGTGTGACATGTAAAGTTTTTCTGTGTAAGCAGTTGTAAAAAACCATAATGCCATGGCTCTATTATAGGGGTGGGAATCATCAGATATTATCACGATACTTATGTCACGATACGATATTGCGATTTTAAACATATTGCAATATATTGCAATTTATTACCTTTTTTCCAACTTCAAATTGTGTCCCCAAAAGAAAACTCTTTTTCTTGTGGACTGAAAAAGCAATTGATTTTATTATTATAGTACCAAAAAGAAAAATTCTGTGGAAATGTACAATCTAAATAATAAAAGATTGATACTTGACCTCTGTGTATTGAAACAATATTGCCATGGATAATAATATGCTGTATCGATTTTTCTCCACACCCCTACTATATTACATATTATTACATTTTACATCTTAACAAGAAAACTAAAACAATAGATAAATTATGAGAAGACATCAAATAATCTAAACAGTACAGTCTATTAGAACTTATATACACATAGTATAAGGTAAATATCAAGTGGTACTGCTGACTATACAGTATACAGATGGAAGCAGAGAAAAATATTCCAGTTGTCAATAATTAATTCCGGAAAACATTTCATTACTCTACATACCTAAGACTTTCATCTCTGCTGCTCACAACGCGAGTCACTTCCAAAGCTTCATCTCAAGCTATTATTTTACAATATTACAACATATCTAATACAGATATAATAAGGTTATTACAGTTTCTCTTAATTGCTTAAACGCTATAACCAGGCTTTTAAACTATTATATTTTAACTATCAATTTTTTTTAAATAAAACACTAACATTCAATATTGTTCACTCAAGTCAGCATAGGTTGAGCTCAGTTAGCACACAACTACCCAGGTGGAAACACAAACAGTCATAAATGATAACACACCAACCAGAACCTTCAATAGAAAAGGGCCAGAGTCAGTTTATTTAGTTTTGGACCAATGGATCCAGAGATATTTGGAAAAAGAGGTGGAGGAGGAGGAGGAGGAGAAAGAGCAGTATGGAGAGGAGGAAGAGGTGAAGGAAGAGGAACAGTAGGAGTTAGAGGAGGAGATGGGATAGGAGGAAGATGAGGAGGAGGAGGAGGAGGAGGACGTAGAGTATGAGAATCTCTGTCCTGTCCCAGACCAAAGACTAGACAATGGGGCAGAAAAATTAGTTGTTTGGTGTGTTGTACTGTAAAGTACACTAGGAAATAAAAACTGTGCAAATGGTTACATTTGTTATACCTTTTTTTCTCTTTTCTTTTACTGACTTATAACCAGTTTTTGTAGTATTGTTTTAAATTTATCTCACCAGTGTGTTAAACTGTGTTGCAGTGTGTGTGTGTTTTTGAGGGCTTGTGTGTCATGTCTGAGGGCAAAGTTTAGTTTTTCAGCAAGATTGAAGGGTTTTGAGTGAAGAGATTCATTTTGACCTGAAAATAGGATGTTTGGGGAATTGGGAGAGATGTTGTGGATTTGTGTTTAGAGTTTCGAGAAAAAGAGGCATAATTTCAAGAAATGTGTTTAAGCAATTGAGAAAAACTGTAATCGCAAGCTGGTGGCATGGCTCCCATCGCAGCATGTTTAGTATTATAGACATGTATAATATGCTGTTTGCTGAACTGTGTGCACACATTGTTTTATCTGGGGTTCTTGGAAACGAAAGCGGAATATAAAGTTATTTTGCTACTCTAATGTACTCATGTACTCAAATAGTTGCTCACATAGGTTCTCCTCCAAGGGCAAACATGGCTTTGGACCACTCCCATAGGTAGACAGCTGCATTGTGAGGATGTATTGTGTTGATTCAAGGAGGACAGTCGATTCGCCAAATTACCCTGAACCAGTTTTAATAAGAGGTTGGACTGTTTACATATGTTGACATAATACTGTTTAATTTCCATCTTGTTTCATCATTCCACAAACAAACTGAAATGACTGTCACTGAGGTGGTTTAAAAGTAAGTAAGTACAATTAAGTTAGTTTATTTAATATAGCACCTTCAGAGAGCAGAGTGCTTCACAAAAGTAAAATTATAAAAATAAGACCATAAAAGGTAAAAACAAATATAAGCAACAAAGACCTTAAAACAGAAAATGACAAACACTAGACAGCACGAAATGAGTCTTCTGCTTTTTGAAGGCGTCAACAGAAACCACTTTTTGTTTTCATTAGACCGTGAGGGAAAACCAATAAGCCCTGGTCAGAAGACCTGATGGGAAGTCAATGTAAAGAAAATTAGATAAGTGAGATGTGAGTCATCCTGCTGGACCTGGACCACTGCCTTCCAGTAGTGTTCTGGACCATTTGTAGTTGGTCCAGAGAAGACTTGCTGCAGGTGAAACGGCAAAGTCAGTGCTCTAGCTGGGATGATATAAAAGGTTGAAGGTCATCTCTAGCTCAGGTTGTGATACAACAGACCTGAGTTTACCTAATGTTTCTTAACTGGAAGACACATGGGTCAACGATTCAGTGGTCTGTCAGTTTTCAAAGCTAGCCAGCACTAAAGTCCTTTTCAGATGGGAAGTGACAAGCGCCTAGTTAATCATTTACAATGAGAGGAGACCAAGCAGGAAGGGAGGCTCAAGCAGTCTGACAGGTGGAGCAACAAATAGCCGCAATCCCACTGCACTTCTCTGCCTTTCCAACAAATGTCTTTTGACTTTTCCACCTGCCCAAACCATATCTCTGACTCCAGCCACTCCCTCCTGCTCTGCCTTAACCACTTTCCCTCATCATCCCTGCAGTTGCCCAGCTTTTCCTGCCTACACACTCACCTATTTCCCCCTTCTCAGCCCAGTTGTATATATGTTTTCATTTCCACCTGACTGTCAAAGTTACTGTAAAGAATTCTGTTTTCTGGCCACCTGGACCTGCCACCCAGTACCTGCCTGTCAGTTGATTTCTTCAGTCTGGATGA